AAGGACAGTGGCCTACATGTAGTAAAATATCTGGGCACGTAAAGCATAGCTCAGGCATGGAGGTTTTGCCAAAGTTAAAAACATGACTCCATGTCACAGGTCCCAGACACTCTCCCAGATTGCTGTACTGTCTATTGTAAGTGTGTATGTGCTCATTTCTGGCCCAGGAGTGAGGCACAAGGCTTTTGGCATTTTTCTCAGTGACAGTGACAGTAACAAAATATGTTATATATAGGTTGCCATTTGGCAGGAGGGCACATACACATGGAAGAAACTGTAGTTATTTACACACTCCAACTAGCCTCAAGACTTTGAATAAATTAACCAGATTCCTAAAATACTCTGTAGTCAGGAGCTCCTTCTGAGCTCTTAAAGACCAGAATCCTTAAGACTGGAATTAACTCTTTGTGGGAACTTCATTCCCGTCTTGAACTATGTGGGAAAATATTCTTCCAGGCTTGATAAACAATGAGTGACTAAAGCTCTGCAATACAAATAACCTTATGATTCCCCCTCTTAGGAGGAACAGAGCAGGGATGTATGGACTGCTTATACCTGAGCCTGACAGGCACAGGTACTGTGAACTGAACTTCTTTGGGTTTGGATTAATATCTGTCATGGTTTAGAAACAGTACTTCCAATTCACTGTCCCCTCCAAGATTCTCCAAAGCCACACACCCACTCCCCTTTGCCCTTCCTCCCTTCCCAATTCACTGGGATGGCATTGAGAATTGGAGGCACAAAAGGCAAAGATCATGGGTTAAGGTAAGAACAATTTACTGGAAAAAGAAATAAGATAAAAAATGAGCAGTAACAGCAACAATACTAATGACAGAGGTTATAAGAAAAGAAATTACTCACATTGGGGAAAAAAAATCCAATAATAGAAAACACTGTGTTTTCTGGATTGGAAGGAATCCCTTCTCCCTGAGCAAGTGTCATTTTCCCCTGCCCCCAGCAATGACATGAGATGGTTCAGAATAACCTCAGTGCCCTAGCCATGTCCCCTCCCAGCTGCTGCAAAAAAATTAACCCTGTCCTGGCCAGAACAAGGACATTAGGAAATCATTTTAGCTGCAGACTAACAATAGTAGTTTTCTTCTACCTTTTTTTTTTGTGGGAATGCTGCACATTCAGAGTGTTTTTCACTGTGCTTTCACATTGTTTTACTTCTGACCCTTATGCTTTGATCCTCTACTTAATTCTTTTTCTTAGATCTGATGAGTTAATATCTGCCTTATCCATCCGGTCTCACAGCAGGCTTTTTCTCAACACATAGTTGCTGCTGGGTGCCCCTTTACTCACCCTCCTAGCCTCACAGCAGGCTTTTTCTCAATATGAGCCATAGTTGCTGCTGGGTGCCCCTTTACTCACCCTCCTCCCCCTTGGCTAGGGGTGCAAACCCTGCCTCAGTAAAGCACCCTGCTGTCTCCACAAATGGCCAGTGTTTTGAGTCATTAACCTCTAACATATCAGTTTCTCACAATGGATTTACATTATTTATTCTTCTGGTGGTTTAGGAAGGAGCTCCAATCCATGCAGACTGCATTCAGGCTCACCTGCAGCTGTTCATCCCTGTTGTCTGCACTGGCTTGCCATGGCTCTGCCCTGTGGCTCCAGTACTGCCTTTGTCTGGTTTTCCTTTCCACCACCAAGTGGACATGGCACCAGAGTGTTGCTTAGTTTTTTTGAGTTCTTTTAAGCCTTCTGTTGTTTATATTTTTGTAAGGATCTTTCTTACGGATTTTATGTAAATGATTAATTGTTTTGCATTCTTTTCTGGAGGAGGAGAAATTTGACCAGTGTCATTGGAGAGGTGGCACTTTCACCCTCCAATCCACTATCACTTTTAGAAATCTATAAATGTTAGAATCAGAATTAAACTTCCCTCTTTTTTACCTTGGAGAATCCAGTGTCTGTGTCTTTCTATTTTGTGTCCTAAAATAACACCAGAGGGGAAGGAGGAAGGGCAGGAAAGCCATGGGAGCAGACTCAGGCCTTGGGAAGGATCACAATGAGGGTAAAGTGAACTCCCAGAGCTGGGAACCTTGAGGTGATTTTCATCTGATGAACTATACCTAGCCACACACTCCTGTATAGGTGGCTGACCTAATGGTTTTCCAGGCACACCAACATTCCTTCTGGGATTTTGTACATCCACCCTTGCTGTCACTGGCACAGTTACCATGTGTTACAGAGGAGGACTTACTTTTTTCATCACTGGAGTCCAGTTCCTAGGGACATCGAGCTGTAAAGAGACTGGGTTCTCCCTTGGGTCATATTAGTCCTTGTGGGAGACACAAAAGGAAGGAAAAGAAGGTGGCCTCTTGCTTCCTCTGTTTCTGCCCCAAGCCACGGCAAGAAACATACTGAATCTGAATTTTCTCTGTTTTTACTTTATAACCAAGAAAAGTTATGAGGGAGCGACTTCAGGAGCAGCATTTGAGTGCCCAAACCAGAGGCTGGTTTGGGGTTGGCCTGCAGAGCACCAGACCAGATGGTCAAACCACAAGAAAACAGCAGGTGTTGAAAGCTGAAGAGAGACTGTGTAAAACACTGACTCAGCTCTTTGCATACGTACCAGTCAGCTCCTGCAATGAAGAAAAAAGACCATAAAGCAGATCCATTCCCTTAGCCAAGTGCAAATAGTACTGTTCTTCTGCTGGAAAGGTTATATTTTGACATAAGCATTACAGAGTGTTTTTCCTGTCAGTTTGAGGCCACACACATAGAGTGTGGAATATGGAGTGGTTTAGTAACTCAATTAGACACTTGGACAGCTTGCATTTCCTCAGTAAAAAGGAAGTTTGCTGTTTATCTCTCTCAGCACCGATGACTGTTGCACATCACAGTCCACTGCAGAGTAAGTGGAAGGTAGCTCTTGCTGCCAGCTTTAATTTGTTTGTTTTTCCCAGATTAAAGGGCAAAATCATTACACACTGGCTGACCAATTCATTTCACATGAGCAAGGATGCTGGTTAGGTACCTGATTTGTAAATAAGAGTTTAATGATTTGACGCACAGCAAGAAAAAAAACAGGCTCTTTTAGGTTTTATCCTCAGACACACATGGAAGAAGTTTTCTTTCTTGCAAAAGATGGTGAGCAGCACAGGTCTGTGGCTGCAGAGGGGAGCACGGCACTCAGTGCTGACCTTTGCTAACCTCACCTGGGCAGGTCACAAAGCCATCATCCTCCCAGTGAAGCAGTACCTGTACTCCCACATCACAGGGCACCACACAGCTCCTCATGTCTTCTTGCTCAGAGACATAGGGACAGAATATGAAACTGAGTAAAATTCAGATCTCTGGTTCTGCTTGTGGAGTTAAAATTGGGATATTGCTTCAGGTAATTTCAAAGCAGTATAAAAACTATCATCAGTAAGTTTCACATATACTCTACTCACAACTTTCTCATATAATAGAAGTCCTGTGAGACATTTTTAATTCTTATGCTTTAATTTTTTTACCCTAAAAATATCAAGATGGCACAATATTTTTTCTTACAATTTTGAAAGAAGATTTCTCTAGACAAAGAAAATATTCTTGGTGAATGTTAAGGCTAATCAAAAAGGAAAGATACTGGGTCTTCATCAAAGGTCTTTTTATACCAAGATAGAAATTAGTCAAAAAAGTTAAATATGTAAATTATTACTGTTGTTGCTATAAAAGTTAACAAAACCAAGCCTCTATAGTCTAAAGAAATTTGTTTTTATTTCTACTCACCCTCCTGGCTCTTGAGACTACCTTTGGAATTTTTTCTTTTTCCTCTCTCTGGAAAAAAAAATATTCCCATATTTCCATCATAAAACTCAGATTAAATAAAAGCCTTTCAGTATTATTAAAAAGCAAAAATAGCCTGAGATGATCTTTCCATCTCTTTTTTAAAGCCATCTTTATGAATTGAGATAAAAATTGCTTACCCTGTGAAATGCCTTGTCTTTCCAGTTGGACAGTTCTCTCTTCCATCTCTCAGATTTTCTTCTGAAATGTGCAAAGGGAGGTCAGAGAAGCAGAAACTTTCAAGTCACACCACAGCTGAGGCTCTTCATCCACGAAAGTGTTTTAAAACAAAAACTTCGCTCTAGTATTTGTCAAGAAGCACAGAATCATACACAGTAATCACTAACTGTAGCATGTAATCTATCACACTGTTATAACATAGGATGTCAAATTGCAGTGCCGTCTGCTCCTGGCGTGTGGTGGGAGCGGGGGGAGCTCCCCTCGGAGCTGCTTTCCTCTCCCTGACCCGGCTCCCTCTTCCTCTCCTTCCTCATCCCGGAGGGAGCTCCCCTCGGAGCTGCTTTCCTCCCCCTGACCCGGCTCCCTCTTCCTCTCCGGCCCTCACCCCGCCGAGCCCGCTCCTGCCCCATCCCGCTGCTCCCCGCTTGTTTCCTTGCAGGAGCACCAGCGCTCCACGTCCCTGCAGCCCCCGATTTTTGGCCGGGCCACTTTGAGGGACGTATTGTATTCAAGCATCATCTTGTTATCAAGCCCTTTTGCAGGGCGCAGCTGCTGGCGGGCCTGCAGCGCAGTGTGGAAGCACAGCATCATCTTATCAAGCCCTTTTGCAGGGCGCAGCTGCTGGCGGGCCTGCAGCGCAGTGTGGAAGCACAGAGCCGCCCCGCCACCCCCCTGCCGGGACTTCATCTTCGGAACGGGCTCTCGTGGCTTTCCCGAGAAATAGCTCCTAAAAGTGACTGTGCTGAAGCGGGAGGCAGCCAAAAGGACGGTGCAAACGCGGCCTGACAGACCGCCAGACCCAAGTTTCCTTCATGGAGACACAGCGAGTGTCGCCAGAGCACGCCCCAAGGATGGCACAGGCTGTGTGCCCCCGCCGGGCACCGGGAGCAGCAGCCGCGGCCGCCTCTGCCCCTGCCCTTGCTGGGCGGGTTCCCGGGGCCAGGCGGGGCGGGCTCGGCCCCCGCGGGGACCCCGGGCCCGGCCCCGGGCCGGCTCTGCGGGCGCGGCGGCGGCTGAGGCGGGGGGATGGGGGGGGGGGGATGGCGGCGGAGCGGGGAGCGGGGCTGCGCATCTTCCGCGATGTGAGTACGCGGCACGGAGCCCATCCTCCGCACAGAGCACCTGCAAGTCTCTGGGGAGAGGGCACCTGGTTTGCTACGTGGGGGTTTTTTGTTTGTTTGGTTGGTTTTTTTGGTTTGGTTTTTTTTTTCCTTCCTTTTTCTTTTTCTTGAGCTGTTATCTTCTCCCTCGGTGGAGAGGGGTGAAGCCCAGTGGGACTGTGAATCTTCCCCCTTTCTATTTCCCTTTTCCTTATCTTTTCCCCTTCCCCTTCTCCTTTCCCCTTTCCCTTTCCCCTTCTCCTTTCCCCTTCCCCTTTCCCCTTCCCCTTCTCCTTTTCCCTTCCCCTTTCCCCTTCCCCTTTTGCTTCCAATGGCTGCATGTGTGAGGACAGCAGGTTAGTGTTTGGGGGTGGCTAGGAGAGGTTCTGTCACCTTTCTAAGTAAGTGGAAACAGTCCAGACAGTCACCTTTCTAAATAAGTTGCTTCAAATTTTATTGTTTTTATTGGGATGGGGGGAGGGGGGCGCTTTTCACTAGAGTTTCTCACCCGATAAAAGTTGGGTTTTTTCACTAACCATGCAGGTTCTTCCCGTCCCTTTAGACCCTGATGAATTTGAGGTGCCCAAGGTCAACGTGCAGAGAGTCCTGAGCCCCTCAGCCCTTTGAGGGTGAGCCCAGGGTGGTGCCCTGATCAGCATCTGGCCGCACAACCCTGAGGGGTGCTGTGCTAGACTGTCACCAAAGGCTCAGCATCTTGCAAGGTGCAGCTGTAAAGTTTTTTTGTCAAAATTTGCGCAGCACAGAGAATTTCTTTGTTCCAAGGCAAACCCTGGTAAAAGGCAAACTCCCACCCAAAGATCTTAAAAGTATCCCCTGACCTTGGTGAGACCTAAAAATCTTGAGACCAACTGTAGCACCAACCCTGATCCACTTCAGACCAGCTCTTGTATTTGTGTTATTCCACAATATCAGCTGAAAATGGCATAGCCTGTATTAAAGGATTCTTTATCTAGATGTTTTCTCTAATATGCCCACTTCAACTTCCCCAACCTTTCCCCAAATTATTTCAAACAAAACTCATCTGCTCATCTCCTGATTTCTCTAGCATCCACAGAAAATTGTTTAAATAAGACTTCTTATTGACTTTTCAATTCAACTTTCATTTTAATTCAAGTGTATATTGAAAATGCAGGGGGTTTTGATCTGGTTTGGTGGTTTTTTGTTGTTTGTTTTTTTGGGTTTTTTTTTGTCTCAGAGACACCACTGGTAAAAGAAATGAGAGAATTACAGTCATACATCACAAAAACAGAAGAGAAATCTAAGTTGCCAGGAAAGAGTTAAAAAGCATTAAATGCAGCCAACTCCCCAATTAATTTAACTCAGCACATTGGGTTAGGAAATTGCCCATCATCAGATTATCTGGTAAACTGAAAATTTCTGATTTCACTAAAGTAAAAAAGGTAATTCAAAGTAAAATTATTTGTTTAATATTCAGCATTTTCTTAAACCAATGTCAGGTTCATATTTATAGGAAAACAGATACCTTTCACATACTCACAAATAGGAGGAGGCTGCTTCTGTGATTTTCTTCTTATATTTGGAGGAAAAGGTTAAATCCAAACCAAGTCTGCTTCAAAGCAGGGACTGGACCCTGGGGCCCCTTCCTGCTGTGAGAGTACATTCATGTCACAGATATTTTAGATATTCAGGAGTGTGTAGGTGTGTGATCACTCCTCAGTGAAGTACTCCGATCTATATGAACACATTTAAATTAGACCAGGCAGCAAGAGGTTTGTTGTGAGGCTGCACAGAAAGGGCAGGTACTGAGGTCCTGATCTCACTGGGGGATTGAATTATAGAATCATAAAATGGCATGGTTGGAAAGGACCTTAAAAATCATCCAATTCTAAACCCCTGCCATTGGCAGGGACACCTTCCACTAGACCAGGTTGCTCAGAGCTTCATCCAGCCTGGCCTTGAACTCTGCCATTCACAACCTCCCTGGGCCACCTGTACCAGTGCCTCAGCACCCACACAGTAAAGACTTTTTTCCTAACATCTAATCTACACCTATTCTATTTCAGTTTGAAATCATTCCCCATTGTCCTGTCACTAAATGTTCCTATAAATAATCTCTCTCCAGAGAGAAAGATCTAATGTGAGTGATATATGATTGCTAAAACAACCTCTTCCATGGTCTTCTGTCAAACTCCCTCTCAGATGTCTAAAGGATTTTAATACTTCCTTAGACTGGGGGCAGGGGGTTAATTAATTAAAACAAATTAATATAAATTTTAAATAATAATTATAAAAATAATAAATACATAAAATAATTTATTTTAAATCAATTTTTAAAATTACTTAAGCAGAAACTTTTGCCACTCTTGACCCATGGTTATGGGACATTTCTATTTGATTGAAACTCCACTACTACATCCCTTCAAAAGTCCAATCCCTATACTGAAAATTGAATGTATCATTTATTTGGATAAATAGGGAGGGAAAACGCCATCTTACTAAGTATATTTCATATTTTATGTGCTGTGAATTTGGTCCAATGCAAAGTTCACTGTCTGTGAAGTCCTGGATGTGGGTCACAACTCTGTTGGTTTCCCTGCCAACCCCACCATAAAAAAAACAATTCTGAAGGTGCTCCAAGAGAGCTCGGCACTTGGATCCATCCTGTCTGGTTTCACTTCTAGGAGCAGAGCAGTCATGGCATGTGCTGGAGAAACTGTTTAAATGCTACTAACATTTTAAAAAAACAGAGAATGTTTCCACTGCTGTCAGCTCTCAAAAATATATGTGCCCATTTTGAAACACTTCACTATTTGCTGCAGCAATAGAAACTACATTTGGAAGGTTTGCTTTTTTGCCTTGCCTACACTTGTGGCAGCATTTCCTGGATGACTCCCTATTGCAGTGACACTGAGTCGGATCCCTTTGTGCCACCCAGCTCCTCTCCTGACTTACCCCTTTGCCTCCTCCACCCACACAACCGTGAGTCTTTCTCACTATCTCAGATGCTCAGCACATCCTCCCAGCCACCATTCTTGCTCTGCTTCTTTAAGCCTCTTCTCTCAAACCTGAATGCAGTATCCTGGTAACCATACAGTACCAGGTTTTGTGCCTGAACATCATCCTTGTAATCCATAAACAAACTAGAAAAGAAAGCTGGTTCTTGTTATAGTCTTGGTTTTCAGTGCACACAGCAAGGGAGGAGTGAAAAAAAGCAGTACTCTGAGGGAAGGATGAAGACACGTTAAGAATTTTAAAATTTTATGCAGCTTTGTGAAAATATGTAACTATAAATATGAAAGAAGATACATTATTATTCACCTAAGAACCTAACAATGTTCTAAGAAGAACATTGTTATTAACCCATACAAAATAAAAAATTGACTCTGTTCTTTCTGTCTCTCTTTTTGTTTAGATATTAAGAAGAGCAGACAAGAATGGTAAGATTTCTTCCATGTCTTGCCCCCTTCCTTTGGAAAAAAGAATTCATCATTAATTCAGGATTTTAAGTCATGTTTTAAACATCCTAACAGAAAAAACAGACATCCCTCATGTCATTTTGTGTTTCCTGCAGATTCAATGCCATGTGTTATGTTATTATCTGATCTTCCCTTCTTTAAGGACAGATCTTACGCTTTCACAATTTGACATTTGTGTTTGATTTGCACTTTGGGTACATGCGAGTGTTTTCTAGTGACACTGACTCAAGAAGGTTTGAAAGACTTGTTAGTAGCTCCATCTTATTTTTTTAAAAAACACCATAGGCTACATCCAGAAATCAACTTGGTTTTGTATTTGTTCAGTGTGTCAGTAGGAAAAATAAACCCTTGAATCCAACTCAGATATTTATAGTACAGAAGTCATAAGGTTTTTATTAACAAGAGAAGCACTGAACAGTGTCGAGCCCATGGATCAGACAGGTTTAACCCTGACAAGTAATTCCCAGTCCAGTCAATCCTCAGAAAACAGATACTGTGTGCATTTAATAAAGAGAAGGCAAATGGATACCATTTAGAAAATCAGTGATAACTTACAAGGAAGAACTCTTGGACAGCAAGTAGCTACTGTATGGTTTGGTGGTAGATCTGAGCATGTTGAATAGCTGTTTACTCTTGCTGAGGGAGAAATCTCACTTCCACAGCCCACTTCTGTTTCCTATTCCTGCCCCAGCTCACGTGCACCAACTGGCACTTCCCACCACAAGACCATGGTAGCCTCCTTCAGAGAGCTCAGGAGCCACAGAATCCATCACTGTGAGAGTTTTTTTGGTAGTATTTTCTTTGTTATCTCCCTCAGTCAGCTTGCCAGTGGTTTGCATGGGCAGTGGTGGTGCAAGTTGAATTCCAAGGTGAGGGCTGGCATGGGGAGGAGGAGGACTCCCTGCACTTGCAGTGGTGCATCTCTAGCTTAGTTACCTGCCAGCCACAGCAAAGCTCTGCTGGCATCTCCCTCAGACCTGCTCATAGTGTTTGGAATAATGTGTGTGCATCTGCCCTGAAGATTGATGAGGGTCAGAGCACATGGTACAGAGCAGAACTCATCACCCCACCTGGGGTCTAAAAGAGACCCTCGAGCTTTGTGTCCCTGCCCTGGACTTTGGGCTGGTGCTGTCCCAGCCCTGGTGGATCCACAGCTCTTTGGTGGTTGGGAGCACTTCAGTCCTCATCTGGGTTTCCCCACAGCTCATTGCTAATACATTGCTCTAAAAACAGGGGAACAGCTCCCAGTACTGGGGACAAACCTGCTTGTTCCAGAACAATACAGAACCATATCCAAGTCTTTGGTCACTGGTATTCCTACCTGTATAGGTTTCTTTACAACATATTATTGGCAGAAAAGTGGCTAAGTTCAGTCACTTCAGTTCTATTAATTTAAGTCCATGAACTTGAAATTATTTCAGCTTTTAGGTCTTAATTGTGTTTGCTCAACCATAAATTGCTCGTGGGACTTCCACTTTGCTAATCTAGCAATGCACAGGCTTGTGCCGCATTGATAGGGAGATTTGTTTCAAGGCTGTGAAGTTAAGTACATTTTCAGAAAGGTTATTGGATATGTCAACACTCACTGAAAATGTTTACATTGTTGTCACCATAAATTATTAGTTTTGGTTAATTACCGGTCTACTTACACTTTCAGTGTCACCTTTGTGTGCTACAGGAAGTCAACTATTGGCTTTCTGTAACAAATACTACTTTACTGTCAATGACACAGCCCTGTTAAATTCTCCCATATACTTTAAATAGAACCTCCTCTGCTGTATTCATTCACTTTGTGAGATTAAAATATCTTCAGAGAAAACATCATCAAAAGATTTACTAGATTCTTCTTAGACAGCAAGGAAAAAAATATATCAAAAGGATGGAGCTGATAAATAAGAGTATTGTGTAAGTATTTTTACTATGAATTTGTGGACTGTGGGACTTCAGGTAAGCCTTCCACAGCAAGGAAAGACAGATATTCTTGCAAAGGCAGTATAAAATGAAAGATCAAAAGAGCTGAGATATTCCACTGAACTGCTGGTATTCAAAAATACTACAATAATTTATGGCATCTGTGTTCAGTTAAGAAAGTCCTTTAGCAAACAGCCACGTGAATAAAGTCATACAAATGGCTTCTTTCTTTGCCAGCCCAGGTACATATATCATTCTGTTATTGTCCTGTTTCTGGGAATATCAGCTATGCAGAGATTCCATGAGAGGATCAGCTTCATAAATTTTATCTGTAGTTCTTATTTCATGGCTGTGCAGCTCTGCTTTTTGTGGAGCAGATCCATACATCTCCCATAAATGAAAAGGTCATATGATTTTTTTAAAGAGAGAACAAGGCACAGGGAAGGATTTTAAAGAACTATATGGTTCATAATATTGACAGAAGCAAAAGAAAATCCTGAGGGGGAAAAACCAATTTCATAAAGGTGAGATGCTGCATATTGACCTTTTTGGAAAGGAAAAGTTTCAGGTCTGTATGTCAAAATGAAATTTTGGTCAGGTTTACTTTATAGAACTCTACGTGCTCAAAGGAAAGCATGTGGATTTCACACATAGTGAAATAGTTTCACAGAACTAATTTGGAAAAAAAATCCAGCTAAAAGGAAAAATCTTTGTTTGTTTAATTTATTTTGCTATTTAAAACAAAATCAAATTCATTAAATTCCTCATGAAAAGTAAAATCTTGTCCCTAGCCTGCAAGGGAGACAGTAATGAAAAAATGGGAAACTGGAACTGCCAAATGCAATCATTTCTGATGCAAAAAAAAATTTCACTTCCCTCATCTCACAGGAAACAGTGGTTGCCTCACACACGTGTGAATGCAGCACCTGCATGTGCTTGTCTGCATGAGGTGTCTGTCTTATCCCTGGATATGCCAGGAGGGACATGGGGCACCCCATTAGCCTTGCAGGGACCTGCAGTCAAGTGCAATTATATCAGTTGTTGGTGAATGTCACCCAGGGGCCTCTTCTGACCAGGCAGCTGTGACATGTGCCCAATTAGAATTGCCTCCTGCCAGAATTCTCTCCTCTTAGCACAGGAATGGAATTCCAAATACAGACTACATTCCAAAAGTCCAACCACAAATAGTCTGACTGTCAAAGAGATTGGGGGGGGGGGGGGCTGGAAAGAAGGAAATAATCTACTGAGAATGCAGCCCTTGATCTTGCAAGAGTAACAAAGGGAAGGTGCCTTGACACTGATGGTTCAACACAGACCAGAGGCAAGGAGCACTACAAAATAACTGGAGAAAAGTGCCCTGCCTTTGCTGGCATCGTGGTGGGGGTCATTTCTCTTCCCATTTCTCTTCTCTGGGGAAGAAGACCACTGCCTTTCCCTTTTACCAGAGTCTGTCTATCATCTGCTGCTCTGGAAGCATGGCATGCTCTGTTGTTTGAGACTCCCCTTGGCACTTTTCAGTGTCCATCCAGTCAAACCTGGAGGGAGTGACTCCTAGCCCTGTCCCCCAGGAGGAGTAGCTCACAGCTGTCTCTCTTCTCCACAAAATTCAAATTGGTATTTGATTATGGCCTTGTTCCAAACTTCACAGCTCCTGCCCCAAGCTCTTGCATGCCTCTAAGCCCTAAGGAGGGCAACTCTAATATGACAGGTTTGGAAAAGATGGTTTGTATATAGATGCTTTCATTGATTTGCAGATACAAGTCAGCTGTTAAGAAAAAGCACTGAGTAAAACTATACCTCAAACATTCTTAAAGCTCCTAAGAGGAAGATATTTGAAAACATCATTTGCAATATCTGCTACAGAAGCAGACATTTTAGTAAAAACCCAAAAAGCAAGAACTGTAAGGAACACTGTAAACAGTATGCTTCAGGCAGTCAGGAATGACTGCTAACAAATGAGGGAAAATTTTAAAACTGACTAAACAAAAGAAGACTAAAGCTCCATAGATTGACAAACCTGAATATCAAACAACCAGCAGACTTGCAACAGAATCTTATTAATGTCAGAATCACTGCATTTATGTCTGGTTTAATTTTTTTTTCTCTGACATTTCAAACAAGCACTCACTGAAAGCTTTTTTCCCCCCCTAAAAATATATCTCTTTTTTAGTGTATTTGAACTAGGATCTATAAAATGAAAAATAGCCAGATGAGATAATATTTGAATTCTGTCATATTCAGTAGCCCTGATGTTCATGATACAGAGCAGACGCACCAGGCTTTTAAATGTAGAATTATGAAACTGTATAAAATACTGTGATTATATATGCAGCATATTGATTACAATAATCTGAGGGTTTCAGCCCAGCTCTAAAACCCTGCTAACATTGGCCTAACAAAAACTGTGGGTCATAAATAAAGGACTCCTTAAAATAAGGCAAGTGCAGCAGTAACACCATGTCCCTTTCACTGGTGTCAGTGACCAAAGGGATTGATTCACAGATCATAGGCTTTTGAGTGACCAACAAGATTTCCAGAAAATAACCAAAACACCTCTGAAGTGCACCTGCATGATCATCAGGAGGCAATCTTGCAATGCCTACTTGAGAGTCAATTTTGCAGAAATCAGAACAGGTGTTTTCCTATTCATTATTTATTGACAGTGTCTTTTCAGGATAAATACTGACTTTGGAGGTGAGTCTTCTACCATCTGTGTCAGCTCATGTGTCTGTAGGTGAGCTCTGGCAGGTTGAAAGCTGCATCACTGCAGCAGTTCTCAGACTGGGACTCCTCAGTGGCTCTAGCTTGTTTAGCAGGCTGATAGTTTATACCATGCCAGAGGATTAAGGGAATATGCCTCTGAGAGGCAGAGAAAGCACCTTGCGAAAGAGATCTCTGGAATCTTCCCTAAAGTGAACTGTCAGAATCGGCCTTCAGGCTCTCAAGTGGGTTAAACTTGTTTCCAAGAAAAATGTTGGAGTTTACCAAAGCAAAGAATGCCAAGTCCTTGATTTCAGCATTTTTTAGTATCTCCTAACCTGTGGCTATAACATCCTGACACCTCATGAGGTCTTCAGCTAGCCCAGAGACTGCCCCAGAAGCTCTGCTCAGTGGCAGCTGCATCAGTGCACAGGGTCTCCCCTCCATCTGGTCTGGCCAGAGAGGTCACAGCATGACAGGGTGACCCATCTCTTGTGTGACCTCCCTGGAGAAAAACAGCAATGTGCAGGAATCCCTTGGGAAAGCTTGATGCACATGATACCCAGAAGAGCCCGGTCTAAGTGGCCCAAAGTGGCCTGGCCATGTTTTAGCTACAGATTTACTGAATTACTTTGCAGAACACATTTTCTAAACAGAAGCCAGGGGACAGAATTCACTGAACTGTAGCATCCCTGATTTAAACTCCCAAGTTACTCAGTGAATGGATTAGTAAGGCAAAACCCTTGCAGTCATCCCATGAATTCTCACCACACTGCTGTTTGCTTCCTGACCAGCTGGATCCACTGCATCATCCATCTACATCATCCTGCATCCGTTCCAGAGCCCAGGCTCAGCCTGGGGTGGGATTCCCCATCCACCCCGCTGGGTCCTTCAAGTGCTGCATGGCTGGACTCTGTGCTATAGATCCCCAAAAACATTTCTGTAGAAATAACCTAAACCCTCATCCTGTTAGCTTTGGAATCACTTGGTTACATTTGTGAAGCTTTTCCAGCATAACAGATGGAATAATGGCTCAAAATCCTTATTTCTGATTTTATCAACATACAATACAAATCAGAGTCAATAAAAGCTTAGTGCATTTGCCCAGACTCTTTAAATCTTCATCTGTGTCTGTGCTTTTTCTGATGCAGCTCCCTTATGACTGGGACCTATTGGATAGTATTAGCATGCTCGCCTTGGCACACTGAAATTTGTTATTTTGGCAGATCTTTTGTGGTCTGATTCTAGCCTGTGTGCCATATGTCAATAAACCACGTGGGTTTCATTTTTTTGCGTCCGTTCCAGTCCATCTATGTCTGTTGTGATGTGCCCCCCTACACTACCTTGTTTTCTTTGTGCATGGGATAATATCTTATAGCACTCAAGTGATCTGATCCAACCTTTTACAGCAAGCATGGACTGTCAGTGTCTTCCAAAGGACAGGTCCCAGGAGCAGGTGAGCTGGGAGGGGGACCCATGCTCACACTGCCTTCCCAATGTGTCTGCTTCAGCCATGCAGGCAGCTGTGGCTCACATGAAACACTTGAAGGCTTTAGGTTCTAAAAAGACAAGTGGATTAAAAAATGCATAAAGGGCTGTCACAACACCCACAAGAGAAATTGAGCTCCCATTGAGAATTGTGAGGGCCTGAATGGGTCTGTGTTTTGGCCTTGGATTTCCCAAGGCAGAAGTGACTTTGAGCACTTTGAGTCAGTTTCTAGTCCCTGTTGTACCTTCCTGGTGAATTAATACTTTCTGCCACAGGGAGTTTTTTCATTTATTAATCACTTGTTATCTCTTCTTCCGTTGCTCATTGTTACCCTACAGGGGCAGAGATCTGTTCTTATAGATCTGTGCTTATAAACAACCTCACTGCCCTCATAGTGAGGCCAGCCAGGAGGCAGGTTTGGCACTGTCTGACTGGGCCAAGACAACAAACTTCACTGCCCTCGTAGTGTGCATGCTGCCAGCCAGGAGGCAGGTTTGGCACTGTCTGATTGGGCCAAGACAACTCTGAGGGTTCAACAATCCAAATCACATCCTTCTAAGGTGAACCCCAGGATGAGCTTTAACCAAGAGTGGTTTTCTCCTCTGATTGCCAATGTGGCTCCTCCAAGTGCCATAAGCCCTAGGGCTGCCATTCAGCCATGTGAGCTCTATGTGATGTGGCTCCTGATATGAAAAGACTGATTTTTAAACTGCTTAGAAAAGCTCACAATCCTAACAGGGTGCCCAAAATAGGAAGTGGTTTTGTTGTCCTCCAGCATTTGCTGGCATCTCTGTGAGATATCCTCCTTCTCTACATCACTGTAACTTCCTTCAAGTGTCCAAGTGTCACCATTTGCCATTATTTTGTGCACACAGCCTCCAAATACATCTGTGCCCTTGTCCATTATTTGCTCGATACCTTTTAGCTGGCTGAAATCACCTTTCAACTCAAGAGACTGTATGTGATTTTCCTTTGTCATATATGCTGTCCTCTACTGAAGACATCAGCTATCCAAAGAATATCCTGGAGATTGTATTAGCTTTTCTGCAGCAGACTGGCTGGGGGATATCCCTTGGGCATATTTTACACAGAAAAACATCTATTCCACAGACAGGTGAATTTCACTGAAATAAATGTGAGAATGCAATCGTAACCTGGAGGAAGGCTCTTATGATTCACTGCATGAATCTATTTCTAAATTTGCAGGTGCAACGTGGGGAAATTCATTTTATTGTTTATATTTTCATTTTATTTACTTGTCTGCCGGTTGGGAGACAAAGGAGAACAGATGACTGTGCCCATTTTTGAATAAGCCTTTCTTTTGAAAGATGTCAGAGAAGACAGACAAAAGCAAGCAGGTCTTGCAAAACCGCTTCTTAAATAACATTGCCTAGGCAAATACAGCTGAAGGTTGATTTCCCTGATGGATGCATAGCTTCAGAGAAATTTATTTCATTACTCATCCTTCCCTTATCACTTCGCCAGTAGCAAGGATTGAAGAATCTCTAATAGAGGTTTCTGCTCAGCACTTAAACCAGATAGAGTTTATCTGGGCACTCCAAGGGCAGTGAGGTGTGCCCAGGGAAGTGGTGCTGAGGACACCTGACACAGCCTTTAAAATAAAAGCTATTCTTGACACTTGTGGGGGAAAAAAAACAAACCAAACTGTCTAGGCAAATGCATCTTCAGTTTAAGAGCACAGGGACCACTTGTTCAGCGTTGGGTCTGAGCTTCATCTGAGCACTGAGGGAGCACAAGGATGCCCACTGGCAGTGAAGCCCTCCCCAGCTGCTCTGGCAAAACAGTTACACAAAATCAGAGACATGCCCTGGATAATCAGAGCTTTTTTTAGTAAAAGTAACTGTATGAAGTCTGTAAGTACCAAACAGGTTCAAACGTCCTTGTGTTTTGCCAGAAACAATCTCAGTGATTTGTCACTCAATGTCAATAACATTCAGAATGTTATTAAGAATAAACAGCAATGAACCAAAAGGCAATGTCTGCTCTTGGATGACAAAAATTTAAAGAAAATAGCTGAAGTACCCAGTCTGTTGGTGGATCAGTGATTTGCTGGATTGAGATAAAGCCAATGATCCTGAAGGACTCAAACAGACTTGTTTAGTATTTTGTGTCATACCCCAGGCTGTTCTATGGGTGAACTCATATGTTTATCTCAGGAGAGTTGCCAAAGTCACTGGTTTCTTGGGTATGTGTATAACTTGCATGCAAATCAGCCTTCCCAGAAAAGGATAAAGCTGCAGAGGTAGTTTGATTAAGTAATTGATTATATCTGTAACAGCCAAAGAAAGCATATCTGTGAGAACACTCAGCTCAACACACTCAATATTTGATATTTCTTCTCTGTAACCAGAGCCAAATGGCAAATGTATTTAGATTCTCAGCTAGGTAATCATTGCAGTTTTGTGCCATCTTGGTTTCTGGCTCTTGAAGATCTTGACATTTTATTTTGATTGTAAAGATGATCATGTCCATCTACAATCTGTCTTTTCATATTAAACATTTTTAAAGGTTTGGTTGAATTTGTACAATTTTGAAACTTCTTCAAGATATCTGAAGCCATATTTTCCAGTCAAATTATGAAATAATAGGAAGTAAAAGAAGAAGGAAACTTCTCAGCTCTACTCTTCAAATCTGCCTGCTGTAGTACAGCATGTAGAAACAGGAATCAGATACTGCCTTTATAATATATTCTTCACCACTATAACATTAAGTCACAATACAGTGTAGATTAGTCTGATGCTTAGAACATTTTAGTCTTATCTTCTACAGTTTTTTTTAGTGCCCTGTGAGGGATTCAGTATGTTACTGAGGGAAAGAAAGAAACATGTTAACCTACATTCAGTGCTACCCAAAAAAGAGTTATGAAATGTTAGGCTATAAAAACATGCTTTATCCTTCATGCAAAGGCTCAATCAATTTAGATAAATTATTATTTAAGTGCAATTTAATCTTTCAGATTTCTTCTAAATAACAGGAAAAAGTTAATCTTTATTTGACTTTTGTTTGCCAATTATCACCCTTGCATTTAAAATGTAAAGTTTCTACATTTAAGGTAAAAACCTAGAGGCTTTTAATACTTTCCACTTCTACTGCATGAAGTAAACAAGAAAAAGCATGAATGAACTTAATTTCCATTTCTTCACTGTTTCAGATGATGGAAAATTGTCCTTTGATGAATTCAAAGCTTACTTTGCTGATGGAGTTCTGAGTGGAGAAGAACTGCATGTGCTTTTTCGCACCATTGATATACACAATACTGAGTAAGTTCCCCCTTCTTACAATTCCAGGGCCACTTTCTGGAAAGTGGCACTGGAAAACCACCTCAGGCTGATTTTAGGAAAAAAGTTTACGTAGAAAGCTACTTGAAGGAAGCCAGGCGGTGTTATATGGCTATAAACTGTATAAGTGAAGAGTTTTGAAAACTTGCTGAAATATTTGCATATTTCAATAGCTGTGATTTGGGTACTGAGAACACAGTGTGGAAATTGGAGGCTTTCTGCATTCCCCCACCATGGAAAGAAAAGGAGCTGGGGCGTCCTTCAGGGTGAATTCCTCAATTCTCAATTCCACTGAGTCATACTGAGATGAATACTTGGAGCAGATGCTGAGAAGGAAATAAAATAAATGAAGCAATTATATATAGTAAAGAGTTTTAAAAGCCATCTTGTCTGGTGGCATGGTACTTGTGCTGGTGTAGTCCCTTGGGATATTCCCATTATGGTTGGGTTTAACAAAGCCACAGCGAAATAAGCTGACAGGAACTTCATTAAGTTCATCAAGGAGAAGTGTAAAGTCTTGCTTCTGGGGAGAAACTAGCCCCAGGTTTTGTGGGAAATGGAATCAAATTAAATGTAGTAGAATTCACAAGATTTTAGAGTTTGTGCCAAAATAATGTCCTGAAGTAAGCAGAAGAAATGGTACAGGATCTGTTGGACTTTTGGGGACTAAAAATACCACAGGACTTATAAGGTGATTAAGGAATGGGGTGATGGAGACAGGGAAGGGGGGGAGTCATCCCTGGAAGGATTTGGGGGTTTTTTGCTGGGTTAACAGTTGGACTCAATGGTTTCAGAGGTCTGTAATAACCCAAACAATTCTGTTATTCTGTGGTTCTATGCACCAATATATGCTGGGGCCCACTCAGCTGCAAAACAGCTTGGCAGAAAAGGATATTGTGTGGACACCAAGTTGAACATGAGCTAACAATGTGCCCTTATGGCCAAGAAGGTCAATGAATGGTATGAGTGACCCGGAGTCAAAAACTCATTTCAGAGCCAGACTCATTCACACAGCTTTGGATTTCCTCATATGTACCACATATCTGTGTAAGTGGTTTTATTTTGCCATAATTCCATTTGTCTGTAAGCATCCTGATAAGGGCAAAAATTCTTGATACTAAGCAAGATTTCTAAGAAAATATACAGATGTTTTACATCTATTATTCCTTCCTTTTTATTTTTAAAGCTTTTAAAATTAATGAAATATTATTATTTTTATTGTTGTTGTTATTATTGTTGTTGTTATTATTATTATTAGTAGTAGTAGTAGTAGTAGTAGTAGTATTACACCATTTTCTCTTTAACAGAGAATTTATAAATCTGAAAAATATGTAGAAAAGTGAGGATAACATTATGTTTTTCCTCCTGGTAGGTAGGCACACCTGAAGAATTGGTGCAATTGTTGAATGCTGCTGCTATTAACTGAAAATAGGTAATTAAACTGTCATAGCAGCCATCTGAGAGAGAGATCATTCTCATTATCCAGAAAAAGCCTGGCAAAAATCTGGGCACAAAAGTCTCAGAGTGCATGCTATAAAGAGTTCAGTTTTCATGTATTTCAGGGAATGGAGCAGGTGGAAGATTAAGACAAGTTACTAAATTACCTTTCTGAACCAGAAAAAGGGTGCTCTGTATTGATGGATTAACATTTGTTACTGGAGGAGGAGGAGAACCTAGATATGGGTAAGAAAACCTACTTGAAACTAGGATTTAAAACAGCAACAAGAAGCTTTTTGGGTGTTTTTTTGTTTTTATTTTTTTTTCCCCATGGAGTCTTTAACTGATAAAAGGCTTTAGGGTGACTTTGCAGCTGAAAAGTATTATACCAGGCGTGATATATAACAGAGGAATGCACATTTTAAAAGATTTCCCCTACCCCTTTGTAAGCTTTTGAGAAACCTGTCAGCAAGATGTCACAGGCCAAATATCAGATGGATATAGCAAAGAGAGACAGCTTGGCCCGTATAATACAATTTCCTTGTAAACATAGCTTTTAGAAAAAAAAAATCACATTGAGCAGTTATAATGAAGCAACAACTTTACTCACTGGCATTTCCTGAAAAGAGCAAGTTATGGTAAAATGTCTCAAATTAATGAGATAGCTAAGAAAAGTAGCAAAATGTTCCTTGAACCTTGGGAAATGTTTTAATGTAAGCATCAGGAGAATCATGTGCATACCAAACAATCCCCAAACCATCTATTTTAAGATATTTTCACTTCCAAATTATCCAAGGGAATGAAATGAAAATTATGCAACTCAGAAGTATTTTATGGCTGGTTTTTGGGAGGGGAGGGCAAAGAATTCTGCTCAGTTTCGTAGCTACTGGGAGGAGATTTGCACAGATTATTTTGTCTCTCTTATCCAGTTAAAATGCAGACACTGTCAAATTCTGGGCAAATCTTTTATCTTCTCTCTGCTTCACTTCGCTATTTACAAATTGCAGACTGTACTCCCTATCCCAGGAATATTTCATAAGTGTTGTGATTATGCAGTGATTTACACTACATGTAAATGCCTGGGACAGATGTCTAGGGAGGCATTACATGACTCCTTGGTTCATTTATTGGAGCATCTCGAGATTTCATAGCCATCTTGTCACAAGAGCAGACTTTGGGTTGTTCCCACCTGCATTAAATCCTCTAGCTCTGCCAGCATTCAAAACCTCACTGTGTGCACAGGTCTTTGTACTTTAAAGCCTGAAGATGAAAAAGGAGATGTGGCCTTGGGGTGATAGCCATGGATCACAAACTCAGGCAATTTGAATTCCCTTCTCAGCTATGCTGCAGCAATTTTCCAATAAAAGATTCAAAGCATGAAAGACTTACACTGGCTTAACACTTCTAAGGGAACTAAATTAAGCAAGTATTAAACCCCACTATTACACAGACCCTAATGTCAGTCTGGTTGAAGTGAGATTTAGATTATTAACTTTTAAAAAGTCCAATCCAAGCTAATGCAACATGCTTGTCACAAAGCAGATAGGCCGTGGAAGACTGCTGAAATGAGTAATTACCATTTCCAATGTGATAGCAGGGAAAATAACACAGGGTTTAACTTCCCAGTAATTCAGGTTGTGTCTGCCTGACTGACTAGAATCTCTGCACCTTGGTATTTGAAGCAGTCAGGTGTTCTCTTTTTACAGGGTAAAAGAAGAGTCAATTAGTGCCTAATCAGCAGGAAAAACACAGATGAGTAAGAATTAGTTACTGCTGCCTCAAGTTTCCAAGACATAGGTTGAATAGTTTATTATGACAGGATGAATTTAAATTTTTGTCTAGACCCTAAAGTACAGGTTATTCATTCAAGGCAGATCATTGCTTTTACTGAAAATTTGCATTAGCTGAGGGTATTTCCTCAGTACATAATTTGGATATATATTTTGCAGTTTATGAAAGCACTTCCATGTATGCTAATTTTCTTTCTATTTAAAAATATCTACCTTACCTTTTTATAACATTTGAAATATTAAATAAATACAATTAAAGACACAGTATACAAATTGATTGCCTAAATTTTTTAGCTTCTTTTTTCCTTTGGACACAGCCAGAAACAAATGCATAAGAAAACCAAATTAGGTGAAGTAGCATATCCATTGAAAAAGGAATTTATTGTCCATCTTTTAGTACTGCTATGATATTTTACCTTTCTTGAAGGTAAGCTTTGATTAGGCCATACAATGGGCATTGCTGACATGTAATTACAAGGTGACTGTTTTAGGGGGGTAGCAGTTAACCATTCTTCTGTAAGTGCTGTTTCCAGTACTCTCTATAGTTCAGAGTGAAGCTGAGAGCCAATTAGGCATTTGACTGCCCCTGAGAGTCACTTGTATTTGTGCTTTCCAGGATCTCATGAAACCTTTGGGCAATCAGGTACCATTAAATGGTATAAACAAGCCGAGGGAGAGTCCACACTCAGATGCCCTCACACTGCCAGTGGAAGGAAAGGCTTTGCATTGATGCAGAAGTGATCAGGTCTAGGCTGTTACAGCCACATCTCCAGGTTCTTGTTTCCTAGCATGCATTTTCTTCTACTGCGAAGTAGTGTCTTGTATTTAAAGACCCTTAAAAAAACCCCAACCAAACAAATATAGACAGCAAATCAAGAGCAGTGCCTTAAGCTTCAGCCTGGAGTTTGTACAGTGATTCTCCTCATAATTGTTGAAGAGTTTTGCAGGTAGCCCCAGTATAAATACACTCTAAGCATCTGGCCAGCATCTTAGGCTCTTTTTAAGTTATCAGGAGGCCAAGATAGATCCCCTCAGTTTCTTCAGTAGGAGCCCAGCCTCCAAAGTAGGAGTCAGACCAAAATGAGTGCCTATCTGTGGGCACGGGCAAAAGGAAGAGTTTATCTTTCTGTCCTGATTTGACATGTATTTGACTTGACATCCATGTTATACATCTGTAATGTCAGTTTGGACCTTGGTCAGTGCTTGTCCTAACACTTCAGAAAATCTCAGTGCACTCTATTTGAAATCTGAGTTAACCTTTTTGGAGGTTTGTGAGGGTGAAGGAATCCCAGTGTGGTTCCTCACCCTTCTCTCCTTCCCCAGTCTGAGCTCCAAGCTCCACAGTGCTCAATGAGGCTCTGCAGGGCTGATGGGGGCAATGGCAAGGCTGTTGGAGCAAATATGAGTCCTGCAAAGGCACCGGAAGACTTTCTTTGTGCTGACAAGGAGGATCATAGTCTGCAAATTGTGGTAATTTTAGAGCAGAAGTCATTTCGGAGCTGAAGACCCACATACTGTCTCACAGCATTCTGGTTATTAACTGATTGCAAAATATCCTTCATGAAAAACAGTGTTGAAGCACAACTGAGGAAGCTCTGCAGAAATACAGCTGTTTTGTTTATATGCGTTATTGCATGAATAATTGTACTGAAAGTAGAGAAAGATATCAAAAGCAGAGGTATTTTTATTAATGGAGAGAGGAAATTTTGAAATTAGTGGTTAAGAGGTGAAGGCTGTTAGTTTTTATTAATGGAG